GGTTTGGTCATCATATCACTTGTCCACTTCTTTCGTCTGACTATGTTGGCAGGTCTTAATGAGGGCTTCCGTCTAGCTGCTCTGCAACGATAACCCAATCTATGGAGAATCCGTTGAATAGATTTCGGGCTCATCCCACCAACTTTGGCCAATTCTGCACTCGTTAATCTGGGATCCATTTTGATGCTCCTCTTGACAGCCCTTTTTTTGTCCTCTCTGATGGACCAGGACGACTCAGACGCTGCTCAGTTGTTTCCTTGCCGTGTTTCCTGAACTGCATGATGATTCTGTTGACTGTCGAAAGCGGGATTCCCAAATTCTGCGAAATTTGCCGCTGACTTATTCCACCATCTGCTTGACCAACTATCCTTCCTCTAACAAAATCTGACATTTCGAGAGAACCTTGAGTTTTAGGCATGTTGTAGCACAAGATAATTAGTGTGCGGACCATTTTCATTTATATAGTGCTCTGTGAACACAAATTAGGTAGCATTAATCAGTTAAATGACGAAAAATTAGGTGTATATTTACTTGTGACCACCCAGTGTATATTCAATGCATATATAAGACAATGTGTCGTAATATAATAGCATATTATACAAATAAGCATTTTACATTTTTCTTATAGTTGTTATATTTACCTCTTCCTCCTTCTACTCTCCGCTGGCCATAGAAAGGCCGGTCACGGTTTTGCTGCAGCTGGCCAGATTTCCTCTAAAAGCGACGTTCTGCACACTCTACCAGGTCGAAAACGTGTTAATTAACAATTATGTTGTTGTTTGTAATTTGTTGTTTGTTTGTTGCTCCATTCTTTTGGGATGTTTTCCATAAATAACTTACATACAGTTTCAATGTTGATAGCAGTGTCATAATGATTATGTATTAAAGCTAGAGCACTCAGTCTTTCATCAGTTTGTGTACACCTCAGGTAATTATTCACTCAGCAGAGAGCAGATGCCAAACATTCACATGAACATGAACTTAGTGGTAGTGTGGCAAAGAGATTCAGTAGTATAAATATATTTGGTACACTGAAGCACGCTTTTAATTAAGCTGTCAGCCAGTATGTGGGGCCTGTCCTGGAGAGGTATAGAAAGTCATCTTGTCTTTCTTCAACGAAGTTCTTCATCAATTGTTATAAATTAGCAATTGATATATTGTTGCATCATGTTACTATAACTTTCTGAATTTTTCGCGTTGTTTTAATTCATTATTATAGCATCAAATATATAGAATTATGTAGAATGTTCTAAACTTCTGTCTGGATATAAATACGCGTCGAAAGATTAATATTTAGATCTAGACTGCGTGATTATGAGTTTAGCGATAAATAACGCATATTGAAATGATCACAGATTGTATTGTAATAACAGAGCAGAAAAGAATAAACTCGTCTTGTCAATTGCATTCTAAAGTAATTTAACCAGCCTGTGTGTGGACTTTGCCGAAAAAAGTGACAATTATTTAAAACTCTGGAAACAATTGTGATAACCAACAGTATAACGAACATTTGTATATACGTTTGACTTGTTTTAATATACTATTTTAAAACAAGTGGAATGTGTTGTTGTTTGTTTATTGTTGAAATTTACCGCTAACAAGTCACAGGAACCTACTGTAAAGATTCTGGCTTACAAAACCTGACAGTAGCAATATGGCTTCGGACTTCCAATTACAAACTGTCAACAGAAGCCACTGTATGCGACTATATTAAGCCAAAAAATGCTGATGTTTCATCAGTTTGGTTTGGTTTGTGGCGAATTTCGCGCAAAGCTACACGAGAGCTATCTGCGTTAGCCGTCCCTAATTTAGCAGTGTAAAACTAGAGGAAGGGCAGCTAGTCATCACCATTCACCACCAACTCTTGGGCTACGAACAGTGGGATTGACCATCACATTATAACGCCCCCACGGCTGAAAGGGTGAGCATGTTTGGTGTGACGGGGATTCGAACTCGCGACCCGCAGATTGAGAGTTGAGCGCCCTAACCACCTGGCCATGCCGGGCCTGCTTGATCAGAAGAATGTAGACTATGTAGAAAACGTTAATTACCATAAGCAGATGCGCTATAACTATATAAGTATAATTTTTTCAAATGACAAATATAGAAGGTTCGGCCGAACACCCCTTGATCAAGGTACCCTCCTAATACCCCCCCCCCCCCAGTGTCACAGCGGTATGTCTGCGGACTTACAACGCTAGAAACCGGGTTTCGATACCCGTGGTGGGCAGAGCACAGATAGCCCATTATGTAGCTTTGTGCTTAGTTACAAAACAAACAAACAAATCCCAATACAGACGGGCCATCAGAGCACCATATATCACTGGACTATTTTAGTATACGTACCTCAACAAGCAAGACCACAGTGCATAAACTTATATTACCCTTGATTATCTGTGGCATATTCAAGTTAACTGAATTAACTTTAGAGAAGTCCGATAAATAAGAGTTTCATTCAAAATATGGAATTACTGAGTAATAATAAAAATGCTTACTAACTGAGACTATGTTATACGAAATAAAGAGATTGGGCAATAAGTGACAAAGAAAATTAACAAAATATTAATAAAAACCACTTAACATAAAAAATAGTGTATGTACCTGTTTGCCAGACTAAAGACTCAAAAAGACTACAGGATAGAAGGCTTATTACCTTTACCTTACCTTACCATTAACTGGGCTCTGCTTTGTTTATGCCTTGCTTTGCTCTGTGATTTAGATTTGAAGAAACCTTGTATTTATCATGTTTGACTTGCACTACCACATGACAAATTATTTTCAGAATACATGCTTGGATCTAGATATTACCTCAACAACCACTGAAGGACATTCCTTATACAAGATTGCACTATGTAATGATCTTCACGAGTAGTGACAGAATATACTTAACTCTGATAATGACAAAGAAACAAAGGTAACTTGAAACAAGATCAACATATCTCGAGCATGTTTTATGCGAAAACCTGCACATATTCAGCAGATAGAATAAATTCAGAATACAAATTATAATGCTACGAAAGACATAAACCAATGCTATATTTCTATACCAAATTCCCTGTCTTCCTTATCTAACACTTATCGGGCCCGGCATGGCCAGGTGGTTAGAGCGCTCGATTCGCAATCTGAGGGTCGCGGATTCCATTCCCCGTCCCACCAAACATGTTCGCCCTTTCAGCGGTGGGAGCGTTATATTGTGATCGTCAATCCCACTATTCGTTGGTAAAAGAGTAGCACAAGAGTTGGCGGTAGGTGGTTATTACTAGCTGCTCTCTCTCTAGTCTT